AAACACAAGGAACACAGCAGAAAGGGTGGAGGCCATTTTGCTTGGAGGGGTTGTTAATGCTGAAATCCGAGGAGCAGAGTGGACTTTGGTCAAATTTGTAATTTATTAAAGAGAAATGGACTCAGGACCTATCGTGGCTGACAGACGTTGCCTGAAGCCTTATAACACGCTGAGTCACAGATACACACTCCCTGCAAAGAGGACCTTCTAGTCACTGAAGGGTTCTTCACATGAAGGCGCATCATATTCTTGTACCCAGAGGTCAGCGACCCAGTTAGAGTGGTGCCACAGAGCACTGCTGGTGCTGTCACTTCCTGACAGGACGCATGATTTGATGGATGTGAGTACTGATCTCAGACCACAGTATGTTGGTGATGGAGGCTTTCCTCTCCTGAGAGCAGGAAAAATCTCTCTCTGGCTTTTGTCTCTGCCTACGTTTAATTGCACCACCTTACTTGCTGCACAAGAAATGTGTTAGGGAGGGTGTAGGCAGGGAGACCAGAAAGCCGTGACACTGTAAAGTTAAAATAGACACCCGCAGGGATTAGAACTGACGACCACCATGCCGCCATAGCAGCCGGCATAGTGCAGGATGCAGTTTGCAACAGCTTGATATGCTTGCAGCAGCGATTCCGATCTCATGCAGGTGGACGACCTTGATAAACGGCATCGATATCCCCGGCGTGTCTGGGGAGAGCCGCACGTAACTCTTCCCTGGTATCTGTGCCTACTCCCCCAAAGTACCCGAAGAGCCAACATCTACCAGTGTTTATCAGGACATTAAGGCCACGGAAGTTGCGCTTGTTAGCGATTGGGCAATAATAAGGACGTCCATTGGTATTGATTGGTACATTTCATAATGATACTGAAGGATGCTTTTGACAATGAGTTAAGCTACTCAGCTGGCATTGCATGCAGGGTGCCCCACTGCCCTGGCCTGGGTAAGTCCCTGGAATGGGTGGATGGATTGAATAATAATAATAATAATAATAATAAAACAAAATAGCAAGTAGCGAGACAGGAGTGTTGAGCTGAAAAACACAGCTGAAAACGGAAAGCCATCTTACCAGCAACTTGCCCTGATTCTGAAAGCTTGGGAAGATTTGAGGCTCATTTACCAGCAACTATGACAGGAATGATGTCCTCAGTCAGGTTTTAGGAAGCATCTCCCCCTCTTTAATTCCCCTCTTCAGACTGAAGTCATTCAAAATCTTGCCCTGACGTGAGCTGGGAGCTAATCTACGTACCATTCGCCTCACTGGTACGAACGAAAAAGCGTTTGCCAAATGTGTAAAATGTAAAGGTAAAGGAAGTGTGTAAATGGGATAGCGTAGTAGTCAGCATGCTGAGGCGCTGTGGGAGGCCCAGGTTAATGAGTGACTGCGCGCAGACCCCAGCAGGCTGATCGGCAAGGCAGGGGGTATCTGGTGCCTGATTAGGCCAGTTCAGGGTCACTGAACAGGCCAGTATCAGTGAATCATCCAGTACACATGTTTGCATAAGCAGCTGCCATAAGTCCCCTACTTTCTCCTTTTTGCAAGTTGAGTATAAAGGTGCTCCTCCTTCTGACAGCTGGGCTGTTAAACCTGCTGTGAGTTTGAGTGAGTGAATGACCAAAGCAGCCCAGTTGAGACCCCCCCCACACACACACACACACGCTCCAAAAGGGAACCCGTGGGATCCGGTTAAATCTGCCTCTCGGCACCCCACCCTGTCAGGCCTGGTGGAAAGTTCTCATCTGTTCTCCTGAGTTCTCACCTAAATAACCTTCAATCTGCACATTAGAACCACCCTGATCTACAGACACGGCATCAACATGGTAACAGAGCTATGTGTACAGGTCACAGCTAGGAAAAAGGGCTACTTCTGTTATACTGTAGGTCACAACTAGGAAAAAGGGCTACTTCTGTTATAGGTCACAACTAGGAAAAAGGGCTACTTCTGTTATAGGTCACAACTAGGAAAAAGGGCTATTTCTGCTACAGGTCACAACTAGGAAAAAGGGCTACTTCTGCTGTTCTGGCACTAGATAGATGGCCTCATTTACCTGCTGGCAGGCTGGCAGACAGACTGATACACACACTGTGGATTTTGTAACCACATGAATCTTAATATGGAATTTAGGATGATTTTGGATGATTTAGTTAAGGGCATTCATCAGAGACCCTGAGCCTGATGCCATGGCAACAGCACTAGCATCAGCACCCCTGAATGCTCGTAAGTACAGAAAACGGAATTTCTATTTAAGAAGAGGGAGATCTGAACGCTCTGTGTATAAGGGTTCCTGATGCCAGCTCTAGCCCCGTCTGTGGGCAGAAGAGCATTTGAAATCCTTTAAACTGGAAGTTCCCTCTTCTCTCTGAAAGGCCTGGTTTGTCTCGCATACTAAGAGTAAGTATGTACTGAATAAAAAGAGGAGCTGTAAGTCAAAGCTGTCCCCTAGCTAGTGTACACTGTGATCCAGCCCCCTAGTGTGCTGGCTCCTGCCGGCAAGCGAGCGGAAAGCCAAGATGCCTATCAGTGGGTGTGAAGCCTAGCAGAGCCTCAGGAGCCTGACGCTCTCTTCCCATCTGCTGTACGTGTGCCGCAGCACATGCCAGATCGCCCTCACCCTGCCACCAGGTGAATGGTGTCTGAATTCCTTCCAACATCCGAGCATACTTCCCTCAGGAGACGAGTGTTGCCCTGGACTGCAGCAGCCAGGTCTCACCCAGCATCCATCCCATCATGCATCTTCTGCCCCCGCTTCAGTCGCTGGATGCAGGTGGATGGAAACACTTTAAAACAGGAAATAACAAGAAGTCCTCTGAGAGAAAAACAAGCCTGTGACACAAGAAGCCGCATAAATCTTATCCCCCACACCCAGCTCCCCCACCCCCACATAGTTGGTCCAGCTTGGTGACCCAAATGGGGCCCATTTAGCAAAAGGCAAGCAATGCGTATTTCCCAGTTCCAGCCACGCAAAACTGCGTCCTGCCCCAGCCACGCCAGACCCCGCCCTGCCCCAGCCACACCAGATCTGGTCTAGGTCCAGGCAACCGACAGACATTCTAGCCACACCAGGTCATGACCTGCTCCAGCCAGGCCGGACCCCGTCCTCTTCCAGTCACGCCAGGTCCTGACCTCTTCCAGCCAAATCAGACCCCACCCTGCCCCAGCCATGCCAGACCAGGTCTTGTTCCAGGCAACCTACCAGCATGCTCTAGACGATGTGGCCCTCACTATTTGGGCCTGGGAGCAGGGCAGCTTCCCTGTAAACAAAAGCAGGAAGCACCAGAATGTTCTGATATGCCGGGCAGCCACAATCAGAGCCTGCAGTGGCCCCCGTGGCCTTCTGAGCGGGACACAATAACAACACACACACGTATATGCACACGCGTACACGCTGTCACTCAACAGGCAACATTAAAGGCAGCTAAAACAATGAGGGGGCTTAGGGCTCGATCACCCTGCAATCACTTCCCCCAACTCCCTCGGTTGGGGGGGGGGCACCCACTGGGCCCTTCCGCTGTTTTTGTCTTTCCTACTCCCTCCATTGCTGGAAAGATGAGTGAGGAATGTAGAAAAAGCATCCTGTTTTTCTCCCTCTCTGGGTCTGCGTGAGCCGCCACAGTGGTGGCCCCCGGATGCAGAGCCCCCTGCTGGGCACCGTCAGGCTCGTTTCTGCCTCCTCGACAGGCACCTGCCACACGTACAGAGAAAACACGTTTGCGCTCTTCTCTGCCTTGTTGGCATGAAACTGGATGTAATTCTTGTTCTGTGGACCATGCTGTGTACGATACTGCAGTGTACTGGAATTAAGTAAACAGCCATCTTTATTACACTTCCTTAACGTGTCAACAAATTTACCTCTTTCATGCATGAATGTAATGATTTAAAAACACATGCATTCTTCATAAGAAGAATTATGCAGGCTACTTATTTTGTATTGGTAAACCCTTATATGTAACTGAATAACTTATACCTTTCCATCTTTATTAGAAATTATAGGAATGGATAATCCTTGCATATAAACTGTCCCGGAATCTGTGTGATTACTATGAATCATCCATAAAAGCATGTCCATTGCTGCTGGCCCTTTCATCGTGACTTAGCAAACAATGCACAACACCATACAATAGACGCATTAGAACACATTCCTTTCCAAAGTGTTCATTGTCCTACATGGGAAAACAACACAAGAAGGAAAACATGAGGAGACAGCCTGGCTCAGCTCACAACATGCAGCGCATAACGTTCTGAAAATAAGCCATTATGGAAGAAGAAAATGTCATTCATGGAATCTCATATGGCAAATAGTTCTCATATGTTTTACACACTATTGCACATATATTTTTTTCCATAGGCAACCATAGAAAGTCTTTGTTATTTAATAAGTTACATTCCAGTATGTTGCTTGACCTTTTTCTTATATTGAGCATTTTAATTCAAGTCACCCAGGTCAATGGAAAGTGAAAGGGCAGATTACAATGTGGTTTAAAGCACAGGTGTCCTTCAACAGAGAAAACAACTAAAAACTCAAGGAAGAAAACAAAAGGGAAAAAAATACTTGTCATGAAGTGTCACTGACAGACAGCAATGTAAATATCAACAATTTCTCGGATGTAGGAAGATCTGTAGGACCAGGATTGTAGGATCTGATCGGCACAGAAAAACTCCTGCTGAGTTCTTTTCGACCTGAACAAAAGGATGTTTGCTCATGGTAGATGATAGAATCATGCAATCAGTATATTCAGTATAATCAGTGCTTAGAGTGTCTTTATGTTATTATAAACTACATAGCAAAAACCGTATTACAAACAACAAAATTAATGAAGGCGTAAAGAGCTGTATAAAGAACTTTTTTACACGTTACAGGAGAAGCTGCTGGAAGATGGATGACTGGATGGATGGAGGGATGGATGGATATATCAAAACACACCTATCATTTTCTATTTCTATATAAAATAAGGAAGCAAACCAGGGAAAATAATTGAATAAAACAATTTATTTACCTTTGATATTCCTGCTTAAAATTAATATTAAAATAAATACATTCCTTCTACACAGGGACAGAATAAATATGTTTCACTGAGATCAGGTAATTAAATAAACATATATGTTAGCTTGGTGGATGCAAGACCCAGGCACAGAAGGCTTCATCAGAGTGACACGAGTCCTGGGAGGGGCAGAAACCCAGCGACAGTAACCCAGGAATAAGCAGCATTCTCTACCCCACAAGCTGTCCCCTGTGAATGGGCGGCAGTGTTCTGAAGAATAATTTAGTCATTTGGCCACAAATGCATTAGAAAACTTGTTCCCAAAATGAAATAGTAACAATAAGTGTAGGTAGAAGACAAACATACCGAAAACACAAACAGACAATAACAAGCAACTGCTCTGCAGTGCAGGAGAAAGTGTGATCACTCGTGTCTCATTACTGATCTCTGATGCTGACAGATCATTCGTCTCACATCTCTTGATTCGTTTGATGTGAAATCTAGCATTTGCCCTGTACTATACGTTTACCTCCTTGGCAAAAAGCACTTTTCAAGAGATCAGCTTCAGTTAGACCTAAACTTTGGGGATTACTTTAGTGTTTTGTGACAGAAAGCAAGTTATGATGTCCTTCATACTGGAGACCCATAACGCATAAGTCTGACACGGCTCTGACCGTACTTTTCTATGGGAGAAACCCTAATCCCAGCTATGAGAGCCTTCACTGCTACCCAGCCCTATCCTTATAATCGCAAGAAACCAAACAAAATACAAGACTTTTGCCATTTGTAGTTTTTTTTGATTGCAGTCACAGATTTCTATAAAACTGAGTCTCCCTTGTGGGGCCCGAACAAATGGTCCCACAAAGTCAAAATTATGGGTTTTTATCACACTGTGGGGATTTGGTCCCCACAATGTAATGTATACACCCCCCCACCCACACACGCACACACACACGCACACACACGCACATGTACACGCACACACACACACACACACAAACACCCGTACTCTTAACATTTCCAAACAGGAGTGACATTGTAGCATAACCACTTGACATATGACACACATTAAAACTCTTTCATAGACTAAAAGTCCATAATTTGCTAACTTTTGCCATGGTGCTGTATTGACTTATACTCTTGGTACCGGCTCTTTGACCTGGTCACACTGCTGACAGTGGCCCTCACTGGTCAAGAGCCTCAAAGCCAAACTGCGCGGTGAAAACCTCACTGCTGCATGCTAACTGCACACACCAAAGCACTACGTCCACAATGGCCGCTGATGCCATGTCTGTCCTCTCTGCCTTCCTGCTACAGAGATGGCCTACACCACCTAACAGACTCCCCCCTGCTTGGGGGCCTTTTTAGCCAGCACCCACGATGAGAGTCACTGTCTCTGGAGGAGTGAGGCCTTGCGTTACACTTGAGCGTCGCAGAGTGGGAATCACGTGACCCTGGAGGTCTCCTGCTTCCTTGGCTCCATAGTGCTGCATCTGCTGGCATCTTTCTGGAGTTACAACCTCTCTTCTTGTTTTTGGCTCCACTTCCATCTTTGATCAGATGCTCATTCTTCTCATCGACCTCCCCGCTCTATCTGCCCTACCCCTGCCAGCCTGTAGGGGGCAGTGTGATGTGTCAGGTTTGCTGTGCCACAACAATTTTACATTTCTTAGTCTCATTTTCCTCTTGCTGCAGATATGACACATGATCAGCTATTGTTTGTCATTAGGATGCTGCCTGAGTGCTGCTGTACCTACCTGAGGACGGACAGCAGGCTAGAGCGAGGTGCAAGTAGATTGTTGGCCACCCGGCGGCTTGGTCTCACCAGAAGTGGGATAGGATCTTCAGTGCTGCAGTCAAAGGTCCAGAGATCAGGAGGGACAGAGGCAGGATCAATTTGAGGGGGGGCACTAAAATTCTGGTTAGAGGAGCTATGGTCCACAGGGTGAGAAATGGGCAAACCTTTGGTAGCAGAAGGCAGCACAGGCCTGGTCTGCAGAGTCGACACACTCACAGCGGCCAGCCGAGCGGCGCCTTCGAGACAGGGGGCTTCCCATGCCATAGGGAATAGTCTTACTGCATGCGAGGAGAAACATTGTTGTATCATTAAAACACCAGAACACAAAGTCTATGTTTCAAATGCACATCTTTCTCTGTATATTCACCATGTCTGTGTTTTATCTAAATGTGATGATACATGGATTTAAAAAAAAAAGATCCCTGTGGGGAAATATTTTTATGCCTCGCCCCACTTGCTCTAGCCACAAGGGGCAGCCATGCATAGCGGCACCCAGGGAGCTGGGGGTTAGGGGCCTTGCTGAAGGACCCGCAGATGTGGCGAGGCCGGGCTCGAACCAGCGACCTTCTGATCACAGGCACAGAGGCTTAGCTCCCCATCCCCATGTGCTCTGCTGTCCTGCTGCAACACGTGATGTTACAGTGCAAAACTATTCTAACACCATTGATATATTAGTAGCCTAGTCCAATATAACATGGAATTGCATTTGTATTTATATGATTCTGAGTTAGAGATAAGCAGTATGCAAAATATAATGTAATATGGTCTTAATTAGAAACACTATTTCCACGCAAAAACAGCTATCCAAGTGAGTTATAGTGATGTCCCATTCGTGAACAAATTGTTCTTATGAACTGATTTTTTTCAGTGAATTGATTGAACTGGTTTTCAAATCCGAAAAGAATCAATTCTTCGTACATCCACGCATTATATAGGTCAAAGTCTTCAAAAATCTAAAAATATTTGACAAATTAACATATAAAAACATACAGCTAGATTATTTTTATTAAAACATGTATTATTGTCCATTGTCATCACTGTTTTAGTTTTTATTTCATCATCGTTCTTTGTAACTTACATTAAAATACAGTACTGTATTTTGCCCATAGATGTTTATGATATTATTTTTTAATGTATTATTATTATTTCTTAGATTAAAATCTTAAAATGCGTATAATTACATTACTGGCCAGTGGTTTAACCGATTTTATCATTTAATTCATTTTCTTTGGAGTAAGTGACTCAGGTTTTAGAGACTTTTAGAGAACCCGAGGTTCTTCAGGAACGCATTAGTCGGCCTGCAGCAGGACTGACCGTACGCTTCAGAACCAGGTGCACAGCAGTACCTGGGCGTGTTGACCCAGATGATGTCCAGGTGGCAGAAGTAGATGCACTCCATGTCGAGCCAGTTGCTGCAGGAGCAGCGTTTGGCCCGGACCCGGTGAGGAGCGGGATGGCCGTGGACTGCATGCTCCCTGGGGACGGCGAGACCTGTGCCTGTGGAGAAGATGCGCATGAGCAGAACCTGTATGAAGATCCAAGTCGTGTGTGCAGCTATATTTGCTACATACATTGTCCATGGTGATGGATTAAACCTGCAATCAGTAATCAAGTGTGTCAGTAATCAAGTGTGTCAGTAATCAAGTGTGTCAGTAATCAAGTGTGTCAGTAATCAAGTGTGAATCCCAGGGAGACAAAGCCTAAAATGTGTCAGGTGTCCGTAAAAGTATTGGGTTATCTTAGCTTTATGGAGTGTATCTGAGTCACAGAGTGGTAAATGTCAAGGCCCCTGTAGGCAAAGACCAGTATTTTACTGCGATTTCCCAGATAACAAGCTGCGATCAGAGGTAGAGGGAGTAAATATTGACTGTGAACCCCCCCCCCCCCCCCGCCCCCACTTAGAGGTATCAGGCATGACAGCTCCTTTAACAGCAAATATCAGATAAGGCAGTATAGTCCCTAGTTCTGCCATGTGCTTCCTGCCCTGACATACTTAGCTCCTTCACTATAAGCGTTCAGCACAGAAGAAAAGTTCCTCACCTGCAGTCGCTCTACAAATTTTAAAGATCAAAGACATTTTTCCCGATGACTCTTCAATGCATGAGCTCGGTCTGTGATTTGGCCAATGCATGAAGGAGGCTGACACAGACTCCCGTGACTAATCAAGAGCGTGTGTCACTGCAGCAGCAGGGTAAGAAGAGGACACCTACCTTCTTCTGGTGTCATGCAGATGGTGAGGGCCAGAGTCAGCACTGTGACCAAGGACAGAGCCATTCTAAATATCTGCAGTGCGGTGTTTACAACACAGATTGATCTGCGACTTCAAAGGTACGACTGACAGCTTTGGCTCCTGCGACAAGCTTCACCTACAGGTGCTTCTCTACAGCTGAGCTGTGTGTCCGTCCTTATATGTACCACCACTTAGAATGACATCATGGAGGCCACACCCCCAATTTCTCTCCATAGTTACACAATGTTAGTACTCCAGCTGCCTCCTTGCATTCCAAGCATCACAGAAACCCCGTGGGTGGGGGCAGAGGAAGTGAAGAAAGATCATTTCCATTGGCTCAGCCCCATTGTGTTCGCTGCTGACACAGATAGCAGGCGGCCTTCCCCCTGCTAGCGGGTATTCCTTCGTTCCCTGGAATATCAGCAGCTCGGTGCTCTGCAGCGGGGGGCTCCCCTACAGGCATGATGTATGGAAGATAAGAGCCGACCTTCACGCTGCTCCTGTCCAAGCAGGAACTTTCCTTGAGTTTTTACGCCACTTGCTCCTGCTAGCTAACTATGGTGATTCGCTACATAATCTCAAATACTGATGCAGGACTCCATAATCCAGTAGCCACATATTATATTTGTATAAGACTCAGTATGACACCATTATACTCCAGTACCCTCTGACCCAAGAAAACCAGCCGCTACCACCATGAATCCTACTAACCCTAACCCTAGGAGTCGTACTACCCCAGGATGTCACACTGTCACCCCGGTCAGTAGCTGCCGATGCCAGGACTTCCTTGCTTCCTTTGTAGAGGAACTTCCCAAATGTACTGTGATAAGCAAACACTGCCAGTAACCTCATGCAAAGTTAACCTCAAGTCTGATCCACAGAGCCCACATGGCTTAGCTGTCCGCTGGCGGGGAGCCAACACCGGAGAGAAAAGTGCCCACAAGCCTAATCAGATCAATCAAATCAAGACGTTCTTTTCCATAAAGGGCTTTCTGCCTGTGCATTAGCATTAGCCTCTGTTCTGGTATAAGAACCCCTAATGCAGACAGCTACATGAAGGTGAGCCTCCAAGCCGATGGTGTTTGTGAATGTGAGGTGGTTGGATAGAAGCTCCGCTAATCCTAATGACACGGCCAAGCCAGCACAGCTGGTGCTCAGCGACTGTGGCCTCCATGCTCTTACAGTTTGTCCTAAAGAGTGGGCACATGGTCACTCCAAGTAATCCCAGTGATTCACTGCAGGCATGTTACATGGGAATGCTCCATCAATAATACAGACGGCTATATAGGAGAGTGAT